ACAGCTCTGGCGAATATGATGTGCTGAAAAACCAGGAAATGCTAGTCAGAGGGTTGTCGGCATACACGCTCATGAGCGATGAAGAACTCGGCCTGGACCCAGTCATTAGCTACGACGACGCTAACCGATGTTTCGTGACATTAACAAATGACAATAGCGAAACTGAAAAACTTGAGGTGATTCCTAGGCCTGTTGCTCGACCGGAGACGATAGTCTCGCGAGGAAGCACCTGCTTCAAGACGAAAGACGAAAAGTATCTAATCAAGTTTTCTTGGGGCACCGGTGCAAAAGATAATGAAATCAAATTTCTCAATCGCGCCAAAAACGTAACAGGCGTTATCCAGATGGTGAGTTCAGGGAAACTCTATAAAATTGCAACACACCGAAAAGGTATAAAATTCTCGAAGGATAAATTATGGATCTTTATAGCCAAAGACCAAGTCCTCGCCCGCGGCAAACAGGAGACCATTTTGAATGATGAATTTTACGTGAAACGTAGACTAACCTATGTGAAACTTACACCGGTCGGACGCCTCATTCACTCTGCCGTAACCGTGCGGGAATTTGTGAGTGGTATACGAGATGCCATTATTGGGCTTCGAAACTTGCATGGTAAAAATATTAATCACGGTGACATCTCATCAGGAAACATCATTCTGACTGGGCCGGATAAAGAGGGTAAGACGAAAGGAATTCTAATTGATTTGGACATGTCTTCTTTGCATAAGAACGAAAACGAGAAAAATTTGCCCAGAACAACAACAGGTACCACCATGTATATGGCGTTGGAGCTTATGAAAGCCATTTCTTTCAAAAAGTTAAGTCTTAAGCAGACCTATCGTCATGATCTCGAATCTTGTTTTTACGTTCTCATAGTCGGATGCATGACCTACTGTGACCAAGCAATGCCGGAACACCTTAAAGAATGGTATTCCCACAGTTCATCTACTTGCTTTTCATCGAAGCAAAGTGATATGATTCATTTCGAGGAACGAATTATCGACTATTTCTTACCAAAGTTTCAAGGAGTTAAGGAGTTGGCCAGGAACCTTCACCAAATACTTTTTGGAAATAAAGATATTGGATATGGGTCACCAATAGATCCTAATATACTTTATAATCCTATGATTGAAGCTTTTGATGAAAGTATTTCGTAACTTGAAGGTAAGAAAGATTTTCCATAAACCTCGAATTGCTTTTCAGCTCTTATATAATATGCTAACTTACGCTTTACTTACTATAGCCTATGTGCTGGACAAGAAAAATGACGATAATATTTGGAAATAAAAGGAGCAGTGAATCGAGGGAATTTAGATGACCATGCATAGTTATAACCGAAGAGTTGAAGAAATGCATTGGACGAGTAATCGTAAATCTAATCTTCATAATACAAGATATCAATCAATGAAATTTAGCAAACTGAAATAGACTACAACTAATTGGTGAGAAAGGTATTGAAGCACTTCCGAAGTTTTAGTAATTGAAAATAATCCGTTAGCTGTCGTACGACGGTTTCCTCTCTGGCTAGAGATATCTTGGTAGCCCAAAACAATATTGGATGACTGGAATTTCCCACAATCATTCTCTATTCCACATTGCATTCTAACAGGAATGCACCTCTTACTCTCCTAAACCATGGCAACTTATTGTCAGTATCCTGACCAAATAATTAACTGAACACGATAAACATTATCTCATGACCAAACCTGACAAGGGCCCAAATCAGTCTAGCGATGTAAATACGAAGTGAGCTCATGGGTCTCGATTTGTTTCTATTTAGTAGAAAAGTACACTGAGTCAACAGTTCATGCTGTCCATGTGGCTTCCAATCACAGAACTCTAAGCACATGATTATGTACTGCCCTCGATGGTCAAGTAGAAGAGGAGAGATCTGGAGACAGGCCAAAAATCGATCCTATGAAGCTATGACAAATATTGCCAGAGAAATCAAGAGAATCACACAGTGGATCCTAAATCATGGTTGGATAGAACAATTCCAGTTGACGAAGGTGGTTGAAATGCTACTGAGGTACAGGAACAGTACGAGTCATTCTTATGGTCGATAGTGATGATGTGATTGGTTGACACGGGGCGTACTATAGTGTAACGGCGCTTCTTGGAGGATACCTTAGAAAATCAAAGACTTTAAAAAGGTGGTTTGCTTTCATGTTAATTAGAAAGTAAGATAGATATCCGCATGAGCCACCTTTTTTTTAATAATTTGTTGTGAATACAGCTATAAAGCCATGACACATGAACGATACTATATGTACATATTGGATGACTCTTTTGACCTTAGAGACACTCATACTCTAGATTTCTTTTGCAAAAACCACTACGTGATTTGTTTACTTACACAAACAGTCGATTCTTCTCCGTTAGTACCCACCAATGGGACGTCTCAAAACCTTTGATTATCCAAGCATGCCTTTGTCATCCATGTATACCAGCGTCGCGAGAAATGTGGTGGTGTTTCGCCGAATTTGAACCAGCGATCTACTGTCACGAGTGGGATATGTGTCCGAGGTATCCAGACTCTACTTGGCAGACCGGCCAAGACGATGTACCACCGCACCATCCAACCACGACGGTGTTTATAGTGTCGCCTGCACTCTCGCAACCGAAGTCTTGGCACGCACAAAGCTCAATTTGTCTAAAACACCTTGCCAAAATTCGAAATTTCATGACTGTCGAGACTGTATCCATCTTTTGCATCATCTTTTTAACTTGCCCTGAATCCCCTCACGTAAATTCTAATGAACAGTCTCTCAGATTTGTGCGGCACGCTTTGTTTCCTCCGTCAGATTTAAAAATCGGCTTGGGCGTGTATTTGGCGACCAGCTGAGGCCAGAGAAAGTCGACAAGAGGTGTGGTCATTGGAATGAGGATGTACTTGGCCGTACTTATAGGGTGGATGAGACGTAGGTAGGAGTCAAACTCGTTAGGAGGGAAAATACGACGTGGTGGAGTATTGGAATCATTGCCTCGTGGGCCAACTTGTTCGGTATTGCGAAATTCGACTGAACTTGGATCTGGGAGAATATCTGACCCCCAGGTTCGTAGAGGACACCGCGTACAGGTATTCAGTCTTACCATCCCCTCAATAGTCATTGACTCAGTAAGGACTATAATATAAATCGAATCTAATCTAAACAAGTGAGATATGTGTACAAGCGATGGAGACTCTACTTACAAGCCTGACCCGGAAGTTTTACCACCGTACCATACAGCCAGGGTGATGTTTAAACTGTGCCTCTCATTCCCGCAATCCAAGTCGTGTAGTGCTCAAAATCAAAAAACTTTTGTCCAAGATTTGTATCCACCGCTTGCATCACCCTATCTATATGTTCTAACATCTCTCAAGCCCATCTAGAATATTTGCTTCGCAGGTTTATGTGCCACGATATGCTTCTTCCGGCGGGCGTAAACAGTGCGTGAACGTGTATTTGGAGGCCACTCTAGGCCAGATGCGGATTTAATGAGGGGTGTGGTCATAGCAACGAGGGTGTCCTAACTGATACTTGAAGGCTTGGAGAGGATTTGTGAGGATGTGGCTTAAAGTGTCGTATCTAATATAAAATGAGTCGTAATAACGACTGCTTACGGTTGTTACTAGAAGTAAGACTTTTAATGAAGTATATTGTTTCTTGTCCATTCCCTTCTTCTAGCTATAAGTGTTGTGTACAAGAATGTGCACGACCCTAAGTCATGGGACATAGGACTCATAGGGATATGATCTTCTCAGAAATAGGACTTTTATTTCTTACAAGGAGTGTACATCCCTCCGTAGGGCAACATCTTCGGTCTGCTAAGTATTACTAAACTAGGCTCTTGGAGAAAATTTCACCCTCAAGTTCACAGAGGACACCGCTTAAGAGCGTTTACTTATGTCCTCCACATATTCACCGTATTCAGCAACCAGCTACCAAACATCAAGCTTCTAACACTAAATCACTGCAGCCATTGTTCTCAACGTCACTTTGCATGATGTCTCAGTTCCAAGAGATTTTCACGTATCAAGCGAACAATTCCATTGATTAGATTCTCCAGAAATGCCGAAAAAAGCACAGCAAAGGCGCTAACACTAAATTGGGTAAATTTCAAATTCAAGATCTGGTGCTTTCAGCTAATAGATTGGTTCTTAATAAACAATATTACCATTTATGCAATTATACTAGCCCATTACGGGAAAAAAATATGGATAAACTTGTTGACTTGTTTAGAAACGTCATGGTCGCCATTATCCAAACAGAAAATCTCATTTTATTTGAACAACTTGTTAATGACATTATGAATAATAAAAATGAGCACGAAATCTTGGAACTGGCCGTTGATCTTGGAACAAAGTTTCTGTCAGAATTTACAGTAGCACCAATGAGCAGTTTGACAACATACCGCAAAGAGCCTATGGAAGGATCTAATACTAACGTGACAGCCAAGGACTTGAATTTATTTGCAGAAAAACTTAGAAGATAACGTATTCTGCGCTATCCCAAACTTCTGGGACTGTTTCTTTGAAGAAAAGGATCGGACCTATCAGACTTCTCGTATATGGGAAAGCTATGAAAAGTATGAGATTGCTGAGTAAAAAGAGATCGAGAGAGCTAAAAGCAAAAAAAACAGCAACAGATGTCAAGGAATAGAAACGTCTTCATAGTGCCAAGGAAGATAAAATCCTTGAAAAAAACATGACAGAAAGTGAGATATGGGACTGGCTCACCTTATTTGAGGAGATTTTCCTAAACCAGCTCAAAGATCGCTCGACAAGATCCTCAAAATACCCCATCGTCATTGAAGATAAGGGCTCTATCCTGCGGGGGCGGTATTGTCGTACAAATTGGACACAACGTGCCCAGGAGTCTACGGGTAATACTCAGATTGACTTCCAGATTAATAGTATTGACTTACAGAATGATGATGTTGACTGGAGAGACATGAATGTCGGGGATGAGTTCACGAAATCAACCAGTCCAGCTAAAGGAAAGGAAAAGTTCCATCAACTATCGAGATGTGTTCGTGAAGTAAATTGCGCTCAGCCCCTGCGACGATTTATGCACGGATTTCTGATTTTTAAGGAAGGATTTTAACTCTGGGTATTTGATCGCTGGGGCGCTTTTAGCTCGGGCAGAAGAGTATTATGGATTACAAGGAGATTTTCGTGCAAGAGATATGCTCGTATTTGTTGATGAGCGATGAAGAAATCGGCCGTAACATTTCAGTCCTACCAAAAGATGGAAAATCCATCGCAAGTTTCACAGGAAGTAATGGTGCTTTAACTCAATCAGTTGAGATCAAACCTAATCCTGTTGTGCGACCAAGATGCCTAGTCAATCGAGACACAATCTGCTTTGAAACGTGGAACAAATCATCGATGACTGAGTATTTGTGGAGCAAGTCTGAAGATAATGCTGAAGTTCGTTTTATGAAGGACGCACTCCCAGTACCAGGTGTCGTGAAATACATAACATCACTGTTTGTACACCAGACTAATAGTCACCTTGGAAGCTTCAATATTTCCTGCGCGAAGCTCTGGGATTTGAAGGCCGAAGACAATACCAAGTCCCGCGGCTCTTACTACCATGAATTGAACTTACCATCCTTGAAGAGAAATTGTTTTCTCTTCAGGATTGTAATGACATCATGCAGCAGAAAAATTGATTCAAGTGGGTCGATCCTTGCTTAGTAGCCGGAATCAGAGATATGATCAGGGCTTACCGGGGGCTTGTCGACATCAGTATCCTACATGGAGTTATTTCGGAAGAAAATATTATCATGAAAGATCCAACTACAGATGATGACACTCATGGTACGTTGATTGACTTCGATTGTTCAGTGAAGTTGAAGGGAAATGTCGCTGAGGATGAAGAGCTGTTCTTAACTGGCACCATGAAGTTCATGGCGCTTGACAGATTAGAGCACGCGAATTTTTCAAGGACTTCTATCCGACGGACTTATCGCCATGACCTAGAATCCTTTTTCTACGTTCTCGTTTTAGGATCCGTGGAATACAAATTGGTAAGCAACGGGAAGTCTCAAAAGCTTGACGTTTGTTGTGTGAATGAGTCTAGCAACTGCTACGCTCAAAAAGTAGCTCTCATCGCTCGAATCGAAAAGCTTCTCGATATGTTCACGCCCAGCTTTAAAGGACAAACAGAGCTAGCCATGAATCTTCGAACAATTCTGTTTAAGGATGGAAACTTTTTCGCAACACTTGAAGATCGCGGATCACTGCACAGGAAAATGATCATTGTTTTTGATGAAACTATCGAGGACAAAAAAGGTAAGATATATTTATGACCGCATGAATTCATTGATTTTTCTTGCTCGAGCTTTGCTGACAAAGCGCTCATTCCTAGCTGGAAGAATCATGAATTCAACCTTCATAGCACGACGGTATCAGACCGCTTGCCGAGCTATTCCTCGCCGAAATTTAGTTCGAGATGTGCCTATTAGGTAGAATTTCACCTTATGGTTCTTAGTTAGACTGTGGATTGACTATTGTATGTCAAGCAGAGGAACATCTATGCTCTGGATGTTGCATAGATTGAGATTTTGGACTCTAAATTTACATTTATTTGAATGAATTATACAAGGATCAGATTATTTTTGTATTATTTTTACTGAACTTGAATATCTACATTCCTATTCATCAAGAAATTCATGAAATAAAAAGGCAAAAGTGGTTCATTCCTTAATCTCATCCAGCGTCCTATTCGGTCTTTAAGTACAGAACCACATAGACGGAAATCTGTTTCGGTCGGGGAAAAAGATCTTTACAAAAAAGTACCCAATATCCTGCCATTCTCTTTTTACTGAATACAAATATGTGATAAGGAACTAAGGACCCCTCGGTGACGGAAGTTGTAGAGCGCATTGATTCAAGTAACTGCCGAAGTGAAAATAATTGCGTAATCTGAAGTCACGAGCTTATCAACAGCGTGGACTGATTCTTTTTATTTTGAAATTAATTTTACATCCTACTGAAGTCTAAGAGTGTGAGAAGACGTATAGTATTTAGCTACATGTCCTAATTGTGCAACTAAGCAGTTCAGTCATGTTTTCCTTTTTAACTTTCAATGAATAATTTGAGTGCTTTGTGGCCTTCTTTATGGCCCCAATTTTTCTAAGTTCTAACAATATGTATATTTTTCGTGACGGGGACAAGCCTAGCACTCATAGAGCATGACATGAAGAAGGTAAGTCCTTCCCCGACGACTATATATGACAATAACTCAGTTTGGCATTTGGACTACTCATGTAGTGGCTGCATTCACTGATACCACTCGAGACCTTGGTGTTAGGAACCCTCACCCTTCCCTTAACCATTTATATCCATCAAAGAGATAACAGGAAAAACCTTTGGCTACCCTGACATACCTTGTCATCTTGTCTGTAGCCACCGCGCGAGATATGGCCTCACAGTCCTCCCTTTCTCGAGTGAGGTAGGTGTCCAGGCTACCCAGGCTGTAATTCGGGGATATGACTACCAGGAGGCGGGCCAAAGCACCTTCCATCGTTGCCTGTTTTTAAAGTGTAGGTTGTAGTATTCGATATCGTAGCCACTGCGCCCACAGATACCCTTAAGTCGTAAATATTCGAAAGTGTGAGTCCAGGTTCGCCCATTTGTGACTTCTTCACTCGTTCTTCCCACATCCCGGCTGCTTAGCCTCCCACAAGATGTGAAGCCCTATTAAGGCTACGGTCCCCCACAGATTAAACCCGATCTTTGCAGATTATGTATTAATATCCCCCCGCGGGTACACATAGCATCGTAATTTTGTAGTGAGGGATGGCCGGTTTTATTTTGAGGCAAATGCCCGATTGCAATTGGAGTAACGCCATTATTGGTATTTGAGGCGAGATGGTGTAGTAAGATTGAGGTAGAGGACCCGCGTGAGAATGATAGGTCAAATATTTGTTGAGAAGTCGTTGATTTTAGATATGCTTGAGGTTGCTCTCGACTCTGATTCGGATGCGATTCTTTTTGGCTTTCCCAGATATGCAGAGCATACTGAGCGATTACACCGGCACCACTGGAAGGTGAAGAGTTCGTCTTTGCCGGCGGGTAGAGGGTACAATTGCCTAGCAAGTTAATGTATCTACATACCACTGCTCACCGGAAATGAAGGCGTTGGACTTCTGCCCTAGAGCAGCGGACTATTTGCCTCACATTCATGTAGTGATTAGCAAGGACTGATGTCTTCCGGCATAACCGGTGATTGGGTCGCGCAGGCTGACAACGTCCGGGCTCATGTTGCGAGAAGGGAATCGCTGGGTCAGTGGCCATTACATCCACACTTTTCGCAGTGATGGCTCGAGGTGCAACAACTAGAATGTTTAGACACGTTAGGAATTTTCAGCTTCCGTTGGGTAGAGACTGATAGACGAATGAAGACGGTTATGTTATTAACGTTGTCATTTCTCGAGTGGTGAATACGTGGGACATGTAGCTCCTTGCTGTCTACCTATCAATGTATCTCTACAACGAGTAAAATACTGTCTCCAATGCCTCTAGCACAGCTTCCTTCATAGCACTAGTCTCAATCCGACCATACGCTCGGATTAGCTGTTTGGCCCTCATTATTCCCCTTCGCCAGCGTCGAAACAAAGGTCATCTGCGCATAAATGGCGGGCCCAGGGAAGTATCTCAAAATACACTGCGTGTGGAGCTGTCCTACCGGCATCGATACTCGATCCAAAGATTTAGCTACTGTTACGCCTTCAGTCCCTCGAGCCTCAGCTATCGGCGCCAGTACGGCTGAGGTAAATTTTGGGATTGAGATAGCCGTAGGCATTCCCATCTACGTCACATAGACATGGTTATTTTGCAAGACAATTAGCCATGATCGGCCTCGGCAATGGAATTTGGTAGATGTACGCCCAAAATTTAGAGTCTTTCCTCTCTAATGTCACGAGCTAGCCGTGTTGACGTTTGACATCTTTCGTCGCCTATCAACATCTATCAATCCAACGTGCATCTGGTCCTCTACCAGGCGCTGGGGTATATGATGCGGAGGTTATCAGCGCCCTCAAAGCCCTCGAAGGAGCGATTGAGTTGGCTGGCGATGCACCCATCAAAGTCATTCTGGATAACCAGGCAGCAGTCCATACACCCCGCTGCGGAAGAACCAGCTCTTCTCAGGCTGTAGTGGACAAATTTATTATTACATGTCAAAGAAATCACCAGATAGAAATCCTCTGGGTCCTCAGACACAGCGGAAGTACTGGGAAAGAAGAAGCCAACAAGCGGGCAAAGTCAGATTGAAAACATTAGATGCATCAGAAATCGAAACTTCAAACCCTAGAGAAAAGGAACACACATGTTTACGGCAGTGGCACGTCTAGTTAACTTGCGTGGAGAGGAACTGGTATAATAAAGGTGGCAGAAGTTCCGTCCCAGACGTAACCAAGATTTTGAACTACGCATGCGGCGGAAACGACCTGCAAGTTATCCCTTCCAATATGGGCAAACCATCGATTGGTAGCAGCATGAACTGGCCACGGAGACATTGCAGACTACCATAGGCGTATGGTCACCAGAACGAGAATCTAGACTGCCCTTGCGGCCGAGAGATGAGACCATGGCACTTTGCAGCGATGGAGAAACTGTGAGCTGAAAGCCCCATCACTGGCAAAGACGATGATTGGAGAGGAGGGGTGGCAATTTTTTTGCACTTCTTTACATCAGCTAAATGTTATGACCATGCGGGTATTCTACAGGGTCATGAGAATCATCATTAAGGTGTGCAAGAATAAAGATAAAATAAAAACTCTTGTCGTTATTTCTGTTTATCTTTTGTATGAGAGACGGCTACAATACAGAACGGGTTTTTGTTTTCTTTTTCACATCCAGTCCAAGAAGACTTTGTTATGTAGGTCAATCTGAGCCCTCAGGGACTACATATTCGTTACATGCCCTTCGGGTGTAGGGCATAGGCCTGGTACGAATAGCATCCAAATCAAATCTAGCAATTTGGCGGCAGCCACCCTTCCGAATCCTTTTAGAATGGCAACTAATCAGACACAGCTGGCTTAGGTACACATGAGATCTGGGCTTTATGCACTCGTATTCTCTTTCAACTATCCGCGCCTAGCGTGATCGAATGTTTTGTATCATTTGTTCACTGTCCTATGAGTCATTGAGTATGTCACTCTTGCCTGGGGCAGAGAGTACCAATACCTCGGGAGGTGTCCTCTCTCCGATGCCGTGTTCTCAGTTTCTTTCCATCGGCAGAGTCCGCACAGATCTCTGAAATTATACTGAGAGAGCGTCATCCCATCACCATCTTACCTCTCCAGCCAACGAAACGATGGCTATCTGCGCGTTAGAAGCTGCAGGGAAAAGGCTCACAGACTATTGTGTGTGGGGCTCTCCTGCCGACAAAAGGACTAAATCTGGAGACATTGCTACCCCTCTGAGGCATTTGAAGGGGTCGGCTAACCGGGCACTAGGGACGGGTGTGAATTTGGTAATAGTACCGTCGGGGTTTTAAGCCTTTTTGTACTCAATACATAACATTGGAGTAGAGGCGAGGTCTATCAGTGGCAGTGGTGGCAAGTAGAAGATAGAGTTTGGGTGTCTGAGAGTCAATAGAGTAGTCTATGTTTAGGTGCGTGGTCGACGAGGATAACGGATCGATGGCTGGCTTAGTCCCGGCGATTAGCGAGATATGCAGGCTCCCCGGCCTAGCAAAGGAAACTTGTCGGGTCTGTGTGGCCCGAAGTCGCTTGACGCACCTAGTATGATTAGGATCCAGATCAGCTCGGCCACTGCAGATGATTCGATGGTTCAGGGGATCAAGAGCCAACCACTACAAACTGTTTTTTCGTCGGAGGATCTCCAGAGCCAATAGTGAGCTCCACCCACGTTTACCTTTTGAAAGCATATTGTTAATTCTTACTCTTGTCGATTTGCCTCCAATTCATCCCCCTTCATAACTACTATCAAGACTACAACTAATGTGGTTAGACAGGAAATATAGAGTAATGACAAACGTTGCAGTGGCTCTCTGTCGTTCCCATTATGTCAAGATGTGTAGTGCCATTTCGGGCCGATCAAGCCTCTATGACGGAGATGTAAAGGACAATTCCATTCTCATCGCCCACAGCATCTCTGCAGATTTTTCTTCCATATCAGCTGGCTAGGCGCGCCTCTCACGACTCCAAGTCGTAGAATTATTCACTATGAAAAACGGTAAAAAGAGGTCGGGCTTCACTATCACTCATACCCTCTATCAGAAGTTTTCCAACACTTGAGCGTGGCCTATAATTTTTTGCGGGTTACGAATAATCGAAAGATTTGAATTGATAACAGGGATACAGAGAGTGTGTGTGTGTGTGTGTGTTTTTATTGTACTACTTGAGTCTATGACTATCTAGCACATTGGGCTCCTCTCTGACCCAGGCCACACCTTGTACAGTGCTCCTATCCTCTTTTGTTACTCGCAAGATCATTGATATATTCCCCTTGATGAATAGCCATTCAGCTCAGTATTTACCCGTGGAATCCAGCCACCTTTTCCACGGAACCTTCTACCCAAAAAAAATAAAAATGGTAGCAATGGAAACTGCGTGCGCGGGAAAAAGTCTCAAAAAACCTGCAGTCCCAGCCAGGCGAGGCCTAGACACCGGGACCACATGAGGTGCGCATATTAATCTATATCTCCCTTCTTTGTAGCAGTCGAGGTCGACTTGGTCCAATCCGCCATCTCCGTATCGGGTGCTGGATACGCTCCGGAAACTCATCGGATGGCTTTTCCTCCGTGATCAAGGTTTGGTGATGAGTAGAGCTCCGACCCTACCGTCTGATCTGATCGTGGTTAGCCTTCATGATAATGTTGATAGGGGAATGTGTTGAGAGATGAAGACGATACAGACCGCGAAAGCGATTGGGAATCCTCTTCGAAGTGAGGACTTTGTTACTCAATCTCGGCTCTGCAGACTCTACAGTGAGAGCTGGAGGTTCGTAGGGGACACCACTGACAGGTGTTGAGAATAGTCCCCCTGGGATACAGAGAGTGACTCTCTTAGATATACACAAGTCTACAGCGCCTAGCCGGCCGACGTCTCGGAACACTTCGGAAGGATAGTAGTGTCTTCGGATTTAGATCTAACGTCGGTATTGGGATAGCCCTGCACACAGTAGGATGTCAAATCCTTGCCTACAGCTACACACCCGAAAATGCTCTTTTGCTGGAGGGGGGCAGTAGGCTCATATAAGGGTATGGTCGGATAAGGAACAGTGCTGCAGAGGAAGCTTGGGAATGATAACATAGATACAGGGGATCTGCACGTCCTACATAGCCGTGAACTTGTCAGGATAAAACTTAACGGAGTTCGTTGGACGACTTTAAAGTCAGATTGGTGGCTAGATGTACTATGATGGAGAAGATGACAAGGAGGACCTCCACAAGACACGTGTCATCTCATCTGTAGCTTAATACTACGCCAATAGCCCAGGTGACCCACGACCAAAGATGGTGCACAACGGCGGACACAGATGCTGAATAGGCAAGGGACTGAGTGCACCGAATTCCTCGCAAGTCGATGGCGGATGTCGAAGGGTCTGGTATGATGTGTCTCGGTGACAGCGAGTCGGCACGGCGAAGCGTAGCCAAAGGTGCCGGATGTTGGGGTCGGGGCAGCTCAAGCGGCAATTTGGTCATGTCGATCGCATGTCATGGGATGAGGCGAGTCCAGTCATGCGCAGACCCGACATTATTGATTGCTGGTAGTGACGAGGGCGGTGGTAGTTCCTGCAGCCGATGGGCTCATGGCACAGCTATTATCAAGCCCAATGGAATTCGCCGACCGGGCGACAGGTGTCTGCTTTATGCGAGTGCACCAGAGGTGAGGAGAGGGGCCGACTCGGCCTGGTGACGGCTGTCGGTGGAGACTCGACGCAGACTGGAGATATGAGACAGTCGAGGTTCCAGCTCCTGTGACGCGGCAGGGGTCGGACGTTCTCCGAGGACAGGGGCTTACGCGCGTCGAGATGAAACCGAGATGGCTCGGCAGCGCGACTTGGATGGGCGTTGGGCAGAGGCGATGTGCGGTGGGGAGCGACAAGCTATCGTCTTGCCCAGAGTGCGCCCGAATGAAGTTGACTGGCACGAGGGGCAGAACGATAGCAGCAGCAGCAGCAGCAGCATGTTGCTGGTGCTGCTTTAATTTCAGGGACGCTGCCTACCACGACGGAGGTAGGATGGTAAGGTGGTGCGTGCTCAGCATGGCATTTTCGCCGCAAGAAGGTCAAGTGCCTGGCTCGCATGCGCGCGCCCTATGCTTGTAGCATCTTAGGTGGCCGCGACAGCGCCAGCGACGGCCTGGGCCAGCTCGTCCAGCCGTTCCAATCTCGCCAGTGGAGGCGCAAAGGTGAGGAGAGCAGCCGTGGCCGAGGAACGAGATCCAGTCGTCCAGCGGACATCATGGGCTCGACAGCGGGCCCGGGAAAGGGCTGACATGTCCCCTGTGAGCGAGTGTTGAGCGCGCCTGGCCGATGTGCCGGGGCAGTGCAGGGGCGACTTTGGCACCACCACTGGATTCGATGTAGGAAATGGCGATTACCGTGCCACGGGTGAGTATTTGCCGTCCTCGCCGTTGTTGGTGGCGAGACGTAGGAAACGGCGGCGGCTGCTGCTGCTGCGACGGCATCAGCTGGATCACGGCATCTTATATCCGCCTACCTGCACGTGAGTCTAGCCGTGTTGCCACAGACGCACCCATCCCATCAGCGGCCGGGCCTACGAGAGCACTCCAGGAGTTGCCGGAGAGAGCGCTGGTCGGCCGTTCTGCGCGGGGCCCAGCTCATCTCCTTTTCGCTGCCTTATTCCCGTCCCTCAACCTGCGCCCTGAGTCCCCCATGGACCCCAAAATCACGCCCTGGCCCCGTCCCCCATCCATTCGTCCTAACCTGCCGCTCGCCAACTGGCCCTCACGTCTGGCCTCACGGCTCCACCAACACTCCAACCCGTCTGTTCGCCGCCATGCACCTCTCTGCTCCCATTCATCAAAGGGGAATCGCCGTCCACCCACTGAAACGGCTGCCACCCTTCTCACCACAATTCCCACCTCTACCCCAATCCAACCCCCCTGCCATCTCACTCTTACGCCCTCATCTTAATCACTTACCAAATGCAGCCTGTGCTCGAGCTCCCGTCCGCCGCATCCACTGTGCCACCCTACCCGAATCTCCATCACAACGCCCGCCACACAGCCAGGCCACTCTTGCTCATTCTTTGCCCGGCCCTAGCTTGTGCTCCGTGGCAAACCGTCAGCCCCTCTCACTAATACCGGCTAGTCGAGACTCGCTGAGTCCTTCGAAGCTGCGCACCCTACCCTTTTCCGGGGCATTGTAGGCCAACCGTGCCCATGTCCCCGCTCTCGCCCCCCCTACACTACCCTAAGCGTAATGTTTCGCTAAAGGAAACAACGGCCCTCTTCCTCAAACGTCGACACCCTTCATCTCCCATGACTAAACAACCAAACAAATCGAAGCTTGATTTAAACCTCTCTTCCCTCACCTTACCTTCTCATCTCTCGACTGTCCCTCAACCTCCTTCTCCTCTCCACTGAGAGGTCTGGCTTCGATACCAGTCAATCCACTCCAAAAGTCTATCGTTTCCCGCAACTCACAATCTTTCGTCGTCCGTATGATCGCTCTGCCTTGAACTCGTACAGCAAGCGTGCTCAACTTCAACTCTTGTACTCCGTCGAATATATCGTCAGCCATTCACTCGATAATCACACCCCAACCTCCGCCACTATGTCTTCCCTCTCCGTCCCAGACACCGGCATGACCATCAAACCTCCGTCGGCCCAATCTTCGACTTCTCTGCGCCCGGCCATCGGCCTCACTCTCCCGGACGGCATTATTGAAGCCATGATTAAGTGTGTGCAAGCAGGAAATCCCATTCAGCTATCCCTGAGCGAGAATCCTGTAAGCAACCCAGACGCACTCGCTGTAGGGGTGAAGGAGGATAGACCCGTGCATCACGGAGGCTACTGCACGAAAGCACCAGTGATTTGATCGATTTCACGCTGACCTATTCCAAACAGAGCATTTCATATGGCGAGAAGATCCAGCACTTGGGTCTTTCCGAAGATAGTCGACCCCGTGAGGTCTTTCGAACTACCTCTTCGAACCCAATACCCTGCGATAGCAAGGGAGCTATTCCCCATCCTTCTCCCAACACCTTCACCAGTATCAAGATGACCTCTACCCTGGCAGCCATGATCAGCCAGACCTACTGCCCGACAAAGTCACCCGAGTCAATGTCAGCATCTCATAGTGTTTCTAATTCCACAAAGAGATCCACTACAGCTGGTGCCGATGCTGCTCTAGCGGCGCTGCAAAGTTCGTTGGCTTCTGAAAGCATAAAAAAGGCCGAGAATACGTAAGTATCTTGGTCATTGCATGAAAGGGTCCTACTAATCATATATGCAGCGTCAAATATATCAAAGATGGTTCACTGACCATTCCTGGAAAGCGAGGACCCTCTAAGCTAGGGAGTTCCTCTAGGTATTTGGATCACAACAGGTCCAACAACGACCTGAACAAACCCTCCTTGTCTCCTCAGCTCCCCTCAACCACCGTTCCCCTCTCCCAGCAGCAGGCCGTCCAGGCCAAGGCGGCCCGCAAGCCAGTCATACATCTGCTCGCTGTCGGTCCTCTATCGGAAGATATACTCGGTTCTAAAGTACCTGATGCCACTTCGCGGGATCTGAAGCAGGCTTTGGAGAAGGTCGGTGACCTCAACGAGTCGTCTGGAAAGTGGGAGCTCCGTAAGACATTTTTTAAGGAGTTAGACGTATGGGAATTCAATTATGACCGGCCAGAAGACCGACAGCGCGCTATTGACAATGCAGTGAAAATTTTCGACAAGATGCGTCTCAATGTATCTGAGCCCCAGTGGGAAAAGCTACTACCACGGAGTGAGAGGGCTACAGGTAAGTGTCTAAGTAGATTGCAAGCTCAAATAGCTCAAGGATCGAACCAAAAAGCTTCCAAGCCTACAGAACCATCTCGAGACACTTCCCCTGCTTCCAAGGACGACGGGGGGCATGAGAAGCCCGTCTCCAAGAAAAGCGACGCTGCTGTCTCGACGCAAACATCCACAACAAAGCCTAAGAAAGCTCCCAGCGCAAAAGAAGCACAGGCTAAACGTCTGGCATCAAAAAAGCCCCCATCGGCCAAGTCTACCAGAGTTAAGGGCACCGCAGCCGCGCCTGTGCCCAAAAAGAAGTGCCCGGCTCCTGCTAAGGAGACCAAGGTCACTAGCCGTATGCTTTCTTCAGAATATGTTCAGTCATCTGATGACGAGGCTGCAGCCCCGGCTGAGGCAATACAGACTAAGGCTATCAAACGCCCGCGTGAGCAAGACGAAACACCGAAAGAGGCTAATCGACCAGGAGTGAAAAAGGCGCGGAAAGACGCCGCCGTTGCACAACGCGTTCCGGAGGCCAGCCAAACTCGTGTAACAAATACAACTCTGTCCTCGAGCTCATCGAGCAAAAGTGCCAAGTCAAATTCACCCCGAAAGTCATCACCTCTAGCGTCGTCTCCTCCAACTAATGCTAGCGATTTGGAGCTCTCCACGGGCTCACGGAGTCCGGGCTCCGGCTCTCGATCAAACGTCCAAAAACGCCATGCGCCCGACTCGTCTATATCTCCCAGCTCGTCGACCACATCTCGACGCCTACGGCCCGAGGTGACCGATTTGGCCCGGAAATATAAAATGTATTACCCGAAATACCTGCAGTTGCACGAACAGCTAACTGAAATGGGCGAGCGACGGGATCGTCACTTGGAGAAGGATTTGCTGGAGATGCATGCTCGCCTCTACACCATGAAGAAGGAGATCATGGCTGGTGTGATAGAAGTGGGCTAATCGGGAACTGGATGAACTTGCGAGTGGGGCTATGGCGAGGAAGTGAGGGGGAAGTTCCTCCGGTAGGAAGCGCGTGAATCACAGGGCTTGTATACGAAGACGCAGTTGTGCCTTGGGGATGTGAGTATTTCTATGAAGAATATTATCACAAAGATCCTTGTGCCCTTGTGTGAGCCGTTGCGTCCTCATACTTCCTGGTAAGGTCAGGGATACCCTGACGTGTGTGCCAAGTTTTTCTCGCATCTAGCATTTGAGGGTCCCACAAACCAATTCTCAAGTGTCTGTGCCGAGCGGGGCTAAGCGTGCTCGATGACGCATCGGGCGAGAATGGATCGAAGCAAAACCATGCCCTCTCAGCCGTCGCTAGACGGTAGAGGCCCTTGATGGTTGGCTAGCGATCACAGGGGTATGATGTGAGCCTTGTCATTTGTCATGACGGAGAGTTGGGGTAATTTTGCCGCGCAACGAGCGCTCTTATCCACCCATTTAGAAGCTTCGGCCTAACCATGCCCGTCCAGTTTGTTGACGCTATACCCTATCGACGACAGGCTGGACAAGGCCTATTACGGAATAAATCACGCCAGGACTAGCGTCTAGTAAAGGTGTGGACAACAGCCTTATCCTACATCGGGTCATACGGAAAGCAAGAAGGTTCTTGCTAACCTCGGTGTTTAAAGCACTTGGCCGACGGATTAAAGGGTAACGCGGGCATTATATTAGCCCGGACTGGGACGATTTGATGGATTTAGTTATGGGGATTACAGCCGCCTCCTCAATAATTTTGGTAGGCTTAGATCAGACGAGGAGGTTTGTTAACGACTCCAGCTCCAGCAGTGAGATGGGCTTATGAGGATTTGAACATGTCAGAACACGTTGTCAGCTGCCACAAACGAGTACAGGTCAGGCTAGTATCTAATCGAATCCCGTGATGGCCGGGGTCATGCGCCAGCTCAGTCTCTCGAAGATTCGCCACGGGTCCATGAAGCGCAAGTAAGATATGGTCCACTTTTACACGTGACTAGTGCAGTCCCCTCATTGCCCGGCGGACGCGGAGGCTCCTTCACGCGGGCCCTCGTCTGCTTGAGACACCTGAAGCGGCTGGCAGGGCGACTTGTAGCGGGGTCAGGGGAATTCTTCCTCATTTGTTGTGGAGGCCGTCGCAGGATCTGTCGCAGCAGCGGGGCCCCCGTTAACATCCACCCGGGGCGAGGCTGGTTTCCGAGCACTAGACCAGTCCCTCGATTTTACGCTCTGGTCCCTTTATTTGCTCGACCCTGCGGGACAGCCTCTTGGTATCTATTCACTATCAGAAGATACAAAGTCGCCGTGGCTCTGATCGGAAATTATTCGCCCTCCATGTTTACGCGGCCATGCAACTCTTCTTAGTTGTGCGGGTCCCTGGCGGCCTGAGGAGGCAGATGGAGACCCTCGTGCAACTGTGCAGCTGATTGTCAGGGGCGACACAAATGGGCCGAGGCTGTGTCAAAGGCTAAGGGCAGGTGACGTGGATGCCAGGAATGGAATGAGTCTTCTATTTCTGTATCATTCAGTGTGTATGTAGCTATCTAGCCGTGACACAGTTAGTGCAAAGTACACATTTTAGATGGCCTTTATAACTTGATAGTTACTCATACTCTGGACTTAACCATATATACGACAATGTAATTTTGAAGATGTAGTCTTCGCAATGACTTGCACGCATCGGTATGTGAGAAGTATTCAAAGTTGTAAGCTCTGTCAAGCGTGTACTATGGACGATTGCTCGCTGGATTAAGTCGTTCGCGTTAAGCGAATTGCCACCAAAACCACTGCAGACGGGGGGAACTGTTCTCAACACCTGTCAGTTGTGTCCCCTACGAACCTCCAGCTTTCACTGTAGAGTCTGCAGAGCGGAGATTGAGTAACAAAGTCCTCACTTCGAAGAGGATTCCCAATCGCATTCGCGGTCTGTATCGTCTTCATCTCTCAACACATTCCCCTATCAACATTATCATGGAGGCTAACCACGATCAGATCAGACGGTAGGGTCGGAGCTCTACTCATCACCAAACCTTGATCACGGAGGAAAAGCCATCCGATGAGTTTCCGGAGCGTACCCAGCACCCGATACGGAGATGGCGGATTGGACCAAGTCGACCTCGACTGCTACAAAGAAGGGAGATATAGATTAATATGCGCACCTCATGTGGTCCCGGTGTCTAGGCCTCGCCTGGCTGGGACTGCAGGTTTTTTGAGACTTTTTCCCGCGCACGCAGTTTCCATTGCTACCATATTTATTTTTTTTGGGTAGAAGGTTCCGTGGAAAAGGTGGCCGAATTCCACGGGCAAATACTGAGCTAGATGGCTATTCATCAAGGGGAATATATCAATGATCTTGCGAGTAACAAAAGAGGATAGGAGCACTGTACAAGGTGTGGCCTGGGTCAGAGAGGAGCCCAATGTGCTAGATAGTCATAGACTCAAGTAGTATAACAAAACACACACACTTACTGCAGACCGGGGGGAGAATGGCACAATGAGCGCGGGAGATCTCTCAATCGACCAAACCTTGGCAATTTCCACTGAGCTGATAAAAGTGCTCGAATTCGTCCTTAATCTCTTGGCGTGAGCGAAGCATGTACCGGTTACGTGGTAAGATCAACTGCTACTACTGCTGCTACTACTTACACTTCTTGGGGTTTAGGTTGCTGAATCCCGAGCCTCGACTACCATAGCGTCGTTGACTTATCCATTGGCGAAAGCCCTACCTCGCGCAATGCTTCCCTAATCGTGCGCATGCGTAACGGCTGTTGAGCCTAGGAAGTCCTGTAACGTACGCTGGCTAGCGCGGGCAAAGACACCAAGGAAGTTCCCTGGAGAGATTTCGAGAGGTAGCGTGGAAGATCCTTAGTGAACTTTCTCGAACCCCGTCGGAGCTCCGTGAGATTGTTGCTGTTCATTCTGCCTTCAGGCCAAGGGTAGCTTTGTAGCAGTACATTTCTCCTATACAGCCACTTCCAAGCAGTATTACCCCCCACAAGTCCTCATTTGATCATATACTTGAGGGAGAGCCTAGCCCTTAATTATCTATCCTCTCCAGCCAACGAAACGATGGCCATTTGTGGATGTGTGGCAGCCGGGAAAAATCGCAAAAACAATTGGGTGCGGAGCTCTCCTAATATCTACATTAGGACTTAATCCGAAGAAACCGCTGCCATTCTGAAGCGCTCGAAGAGGCCGGTCAGCCAGACGCCATAGAAGTATGGGTAAGTGAGGAAATTCAGACTCTGTATTTCTAGACCACTTTCAACTCTTTCCCACACGTCGTCTTGAAATGCCAGAAATAGTTTGAAAAAGTGTGACTATTGTCTAGGAGCTGAGCCTAACTTCATTGTGCTATAGACTCACTGGCAAAAGGATTCCAGGATAATTTTTCATGATTTTAGTTTTGCCGCCCTCAATTATTTCAAAGTCAAATCGGAAACATCCGTCCTAACGTGCCCATCAACGGCCTCTACCCCCTCTCATTCCATTTATCAACTGCTATCATCAAGTTGAAGAGCTCCGTCATAGTGGTGGCCACCCTCACGCCATAATCCTATCTTTGAATGTCACGACCGATCTTCATTCTGGCGGGTATACGTAGAGTCGTAATTTTTTAGTGGGAGAGGGCCGGCAATCGACAAGGCAAGCGCCCAATTGCAACTAGAACAACTCCATGGCGCATCGACGAGGCGCGTTGGAGTCGTTTGAGAACGATAGGACCGTCATTGATGCGCTTATGATTGCTTTAGACTCTGGTTCGGATGCGCTTCTTCTGGGCTATTCCAGACGTTCAGAGCTTGTGCCGTGTTTACACTGGCGATACTACAAGGTGAAAGATTTTGGTAGCCGGCAAATTCTATCACTTCTATCAACATTTAGATTGTAGAAGCTCTAAACGATCAGATAGCACTACTTACTGCCTCGGAGGCTTCATGTAACTGCCATCAGAACCGTGCACTCTCCTGCACAGTTCAGCATAGTGGAGGGCAAGACTGAACACCTGTACGCGGTGTCCTCTACGAACCTGGGAGTGAAATATTCTCCCAGAGCCAAGTTCGGTCAAATTTCGCAATATCAAAGAGGTTGGCCCACGAGGCAAAAATCCAAATTACTCCTCCACGTCGTTTTATCGCTCCCAACGAGTTTGACTCCTATCTTCGTCTCATCAAGTCTACAAGTATGACCAAGTACATCCTCATCCCGATGACCACACCACTCTTCGACCTTCTCTGGCCTCAGTTGACCGCCAAATACACGCCCACGCCGATATTTATACCCGACGGAGGAAGCAAAGCGTGGCGCACAAATCTGGGAGACAGTTCTTTGGGATGGACGTGAGAGGGATTAGGACAAGTTTACAAGATGATGCGAAGGACGGATATAACCTCGAAGGGCATGAGATTCCGAATTTTGGCAAGGAGTTTTACGAATTGAGCTTTGTGCGCGCCACGACTTCGCTTGCGAGAGTGCAGCTGACACTATAAAAACAAGTTAACGATGGAAGGTGTTGTGGTCCGCCTCCTGGTGGTGTTCTCCGGTATGGTTTGAGTAGCCTGGGCACCTACTCCACTTGGGAAGGAGACATCTCAGATCATATTTCGCGCGGAGAAAAGTTGAAAGATGATGGAGGCATGTCTGGATAACTCAGGGTTTTTGAGACGTTCCCCTGGGTGGGTATTCACGGATGAGGGTTGACTTGGGGTGAAGAAAAAGCTGCCATAACTTCGCAGTGGTACTTGCAAATGAGATCCGAGGCATGAGTGCTCTTCCTTTACGTTGAATCATCTATTCTGTACTTTTCTTTGATATTGTGTCATAGCTAGATAGCTGCATACGCAATTAAAATCTGATGCAAAAAAAAAAAAAAAGTTCAGCATAGTGGCGTGGCTTCCGATGATTATAGTTTCAAGTGTCATGGTTGGCAAGGCTATGCGGAAATGGAGACTGTGCCATTTCCCAAATACAACCTCGGCTCA